GATTCTTGAATAATATTATATTATTTGAATTATTTTTTCTTTAATAAAATTATTTGTAGGATCTAAAAATCCAGTATTTTTTATTTTTTATTTTAGATTTTGGTGCCTATTTGTTTTTTTTCTAATAAATGATTTATTATATTTTATAGAATATTGTTAGTATAAATAGCTAGATTTATACATGTAAAAATCATAGATAGAAAACTTGTATCTTTTTAAGATGCCATCTATAAAACCTAACCAAAAAGAAATAATTATAAAAGGTCATAAAAGTTGATTAATATTTAATATTTTGAAATTTCCAATAAATTATATTATATATATATATATAAAATATTAAAATGGATTAAATTTCTTCTTTTTTATCAAAAATATATATTGTATTTAAAATAAAAATAAAACCCTTTTAATTATTAGAACAAGGATATATATATATACCACAAAATATAGAGATATATTTTTTTATTTATAAAACACCAAGTGTACAATCATCCTATGACTTAATAAACACATTACATAGTCTAAGATTCATAATATTAAATGATTAATTTTTAATTTTTTAATTAATAAAAAATTGGTTGGAATTTTATTTTATAGAATTATTAATATTAGATAATATGAATATAATATCTATTAATAGAAGATCTTGCAAGCCATCAAACATTAAAACTATGTTATACATATCATAATTATAATCTTTCTTCTAAGACTTCCATATTATTTATGATTATTTTCTTATCATATTTTTTCATAGGATTAATATCTTTGCTTCATTTTTTTTTGCATCTTATCCAACAAATTATTGTGAATTAGTTGTGTTTTATATGTGAATCCTTCCAACCTACTTTTTAAATTTAATTTGTGTCGAACGAATAATTATCTTTAATTCTTACTTTTAAAAATTCTAAATGTTGACTTGTGGCAATCATATCTTATATAATTTTCTACAAAGCATTAATTGACTCATTTTTTTGACACTCATATGAATGTTAAACATTAGTTGGTTGTTACATTAATGGTTAGAATATAAATATTTTTTAGAAAATAAAATTCTTATCTTGTTGTCTTATACAATCACAACTAGGTTGACATGACTAAATGCATCTTCTCTAACTTTCTACCTCAATATGGTTAAATTTATAGGTATTAAAATGATGTATTAAAATTCTTTTGTTATTTTAATTTTACTATTAAAGATAGAAGCTCTAAAAGAATTAAGAAAAGATTTTGTTTCTTACTTTGTTTATTTGAACTCCAAAAGTATTAATCCTAATAAGTAATATATGTAAATATTGATTTGATAAATTTTTAATAAATAAAAATATATAAATTAAAAAACTATAAGTATCATTTAATATCAATACAAGTTTAATGCTTTTTTAATTTATCAGTTTAATTTCTTTATTTTATTTTATTAGATTTATTAAATATTATATATTATATATTATATAATAATAAAATATATAATTAAAAATTTAATAATAATGGAAAGTATAATCATGTAATTATTAATATATGTATTTTATAATTATGTAGCTGGATATCTGAAGTCATAATATCATAACCAATATTTGAAATAGTTTCAAAAAAAGATTCAAGAAGACTACATAATAATTTTAGAGCATGTATTTCTTTTAGAATTTAAATGGTTTAAGATGTATATAAAAATTCTATTAAATTAAAATAAATTATTTTTTTGTGCTAACAAATATTTGATAAAATTTAAATGTATTATGATTATATTTTACCTTTATTATTATAAATATTATTCTAATTACAATTAATTTTTTGAATAACACTTATGTACAATATAAATAAATTTTATCTTATTAATGTCTTTCTTGAGTATTAACTTGTGCTATTTGTGTGACCTATGGTGTCTGTCTTCTTAAGTGATAGCTAAAGCTTCTAATCTTATTTCTTTATTATTAGAGATACATATTTTTTACTTTTGGAAAATAAAGAAAAATTATTCTATAATTTTATTTATCTTTTTTTTATCTTTTTTAAACATCAGAGGGTCTATGCAAAACACCCATAAACAATGTCAAAAATTATGGTTAAAATTCACATTACCAACCTCTGAATAGCAGCTTGTCATTTTTTGGTAGTTGAAGTTCATTGGAAACCTTGCTTTTTGATGTTTTATTGAAGAGAGGTTCAATCTCTTTGATTGTATTGTCCATATATCCAAAAAAAAAAAAAAAAATACAAACACAAAATCCCAAACAATAGTTGCATTACTAAAAAAATGTCTTAATTGCAACAAATATTACATAATTTCAGAACTAATAAGAAGGTAATTGAAAAACATAGATACCAACTTGAACACACACTATGTTTTTTGCCTCATAAAATATCATATCCTACATGGAAGGAAAAAGTTATCCCTTTCTTCTACAAGAACTTAAATAAATGAAAGCTAGGTGGACCCAAAACAAAAAAAACTTCCTCTCCTCTGTGTAGAATATTCTTGTAAATTATGTACTGCGAACTACAATTACAGTATTCAAGATGTCAAAAGAGTCTAAACTCACTGTGATGGAATTGATCCGAAGCAGTATTCCCATTCCTTTTCCTCAATCGAGTGACATTTCCTGTAAAAAAATGAACTGATTCTGGTGGTGTCTCCAAAAGCAAGGATGCAATCGCTGACTATCACCACCGTTTCTGCTACAGGGAGAATGAGGACCCAGTATCAAACAGTGGGTTTGTTTGTCATGCTGTTGTTTTGCTAAGTGAATGTGGGACATCGAGGATGATGCATGGGCCCATGCTTTCAACCTTCGAGATCCAAGATCTGAAACTTCTTTAGCAAACTACAAACTCTTAATATGTTTATATTTAGATGAATGTTAAGAATTGGTCGTAAGAGCTCATTAGAGTTTGGGTGTTCGAACACGAGCATGCCGAAACCTTGACCATCTAATAAAACGGTTTTTTCAGAAAGAGCTTTTAATATTTACTCCTATAGGATCTTGGAAATCATAGTGTTATCTCGTCTGAAAGTCCCTTATGGTGATATGAATTGAGCTGGAAATTCATAGCACTGACAGTCTCACCTTGGCAGACCCTTGGACGATATGAGATGAGTATAATCAAGCAATAAAAGCAAGGCTCTGCAAAACTTTGCCAACATGCACTGCAAAAGAGAACACAGAAGTCAAGCTTTCAACTCGCAACCAAACACCATATGTGCTGATGCGCATGAAGCAGTAGGTGATTTTAATTGGTGAAATGAGCGGGGAATTAGTAGCATAATCCTGAGTGCTATTGCGGAGGAACTACTTAAATAGAAAACTAAACGTTTAGTGTTCAAGTCTACATATTATTGGTAATCCTTGCTGTTTGGAACCTGCATTCTTTGTCTATCTCAACAGCGTTGTCGAACATACAATTGTTTTCACCAAACAAACCGTCCTCTTTTATAGTCCCTAAGTTACAATAGTGATATGTAAGATCCAATTTCGAATTGCAACTGCTTCTAAGTATGTTCATAAGTGTTGCAGACTTGAGACTGCCCTGTTGCCCCAAGCTGCTCACAGGAAAATTAGAACCAACGGACGCACATATTGCCACCACAAATGAGGACTGTACAGCGTTCGGCATGTTTCAAATGAACATTTCAAATGATCTACCCTAAGGTATCTTTAAAAGTCTCCACTGGTCAAATTAATCTTGACACAGAAAATGAAGGCACCAATTGAGTTTCTTTCACGTGTAAAATAACGTTCTTGTAACACCCAAGAATTGAGGGGGTTAATGAAACTATCTTTGAGCATGCTATGGCAACATCAATGAATCTGGAAGATGACATTTAACAACTAATGTAAGATGTCGGTATGATTATGAGGGTATGACTGGAGTGGCTATGAATCGCTTCAGTATATTGAAGTACGTTTTGTCAATTACTCCTGCTCAAGATTGCTGACGATTGCTCATCAGCAAAATGCTTGACTGCCTCAGTTTACTACAAATGTGCACCATTTTAATGAGCGACTTCATCAATCTAAGTGCGGTTCAGATTAAATATGTGCAAAAAGGTTCCTGTGAGAGTCGTACTGTTGAAGAATGATCGTTCCAGCAGGGCCAAGCCAAGAATTCATGAATTGGCCACTTTAGAACCTGTAGCCAAGAATAGCAATGTCAACATGTGGCTCTAGAATCTGAATCCTCAAACCAATTGCGACTGTCCGTATTACAGAACAGCTATACAGCCTGGTACAGTGGGGCACCAAACATCCGACACAAGTACCATAATTAAAGCAATAAATGTTTCACAGAAATATCAACGTGCAATTTACGCCTGCTCACAAAGAGAATGCTGTGCAAGACATGGGTGAGGTGTAACTTTTTGCATTTAGAGAGAGAGCAAGAGATCCCCTCAAAATATCTGGCATGACTTAAGCTAGTATTTTCTACCTGCATCAAGATAGTATTTCCCCTTATTCTGTGGTGATCACAATTTCGAATTACTAAGCCCGAGGGAAGATTCAGGACTAACATTTCAATGGTTCTAACATTCTACGGACCAAGAGTATAACCAAAAGCTTGCCTCTGTGGGGGCTAGGTAATGCCCACCGATCCTTTGCGGAAAGGTGACATCATTCCAGATATGCATGGCAGACTATTGATTGACCGAATGTGTGACTTATAATAGTGATACTGGTGGAAAATAATTATGGAAGAAAACATTATATCCAAGAACCGCTTCATTCTACTAAGGAACGCCGCAAGAAGACCACGGATTGAGTATTCTGTCCCTGAAAATGCCAAATCACTGGGCCAACGCTCTACTCCCCTTACCAAGAGAAAACATTAAGAGAGCGAAACCATCAAGAACAATGACTCACAAACACGGAAAACGATCTTCCAGATTCAGAGAAGAATGTGATTGTAGATTTAGCATCAAATAGATCTTTCCTTTCGCTCTAGTTTCAGATAATTGGAAAATCACGACTGTTTCCACTGATAACATGACATACGACTGACGAAGAGAATACGTTCAAAGGCATTATGAAGTAACATTGAAAAGCTTGAAGCATGAATTCATGCCACTTTATTACAACGGATAAAGTGTTGCGCTTGTCTACACTCAAGTCATATGGCTACAAGAAAAGGAATGACATACCTCGTTACTAACAACATTAGACGTCAGCTACAAGATGTTAAGAGAGAAGTGCGTGACTACTACGCTCCTAGGAGGAAAAAGGAAATCAGAAGTAGAGTCTCTTGTCGACTTCTCGTCGCGTTTTCGCCTCTTTAAACCTGCTCAGATGTATGTCATGCACATTCGGCGATACTCCTTGTGGATGACTTTCTTGGTGTAAACCAGTTGATGTCTCAGAGCCCTCCGTTGTACCTGTAGCTGCGATGATGCTGTGAAGTGAGCTATCGATATCAGCACGAAATAGTGGGCCTCCCATAATCACTCCGTGATCTAGAACTTGCAAGGCTTCTACTGCCCGGTTGGCACGGTGGTGGCATGATGCCAAAGACAAGCAGGAGAGAGAGAATGCGTCACGCCATACCACAGGCACATCTTTCCAAGGTCCTGCGTGTAACACCTCCCAAGCTAGTTCATAAGCAGCTTCTGCAGCATCCTCATCCGCTCCAAACCAGGCCTTCTCTGCAAGCCCCGCAAACACTACGCCCCCTTCATTGCGCACCTGTGATAATGGCAACCAACTTCAAAATGTCCATATCAAAGCATACAATACTCCATTCACTAACTTATTCTTTACGAATGATATTGGGTCTACCACTGTAAGATCCTCGAACACAGTGATCCCTCTCACTGGTGAGGTCCTCAGATTTTCCAACACCATATCTTGTAAAACACGAAATCTGAAAACACACTATTTCGGTATGATTATAACAATTGCACCACCTCACTAACTCTGCACAACCTTCTCCTCAGTCAATAAATCTCATGCATCAAAACCTGTTATCACAGAAGGCAATCGCTCTCACATTCACCGCTTTCAGAAAATAAAACAAAATCGCGAGGTCAAGGAAACAAAGGCAACCACACTCGTCATTTCAGTGGAATTGGACACCAGCAGAGGCAATCGCAACTAGGTCAACGTGCCCAGACCTGGGTGAGAAACGCGAGCACCTGCGATTCCGCAACGGGAGACATGGGCAAATTCTACAGCCGCTGACCTGCACTATCAGTCACCGGGCACGACCTCCTATGCTCCAAATGCAGCACCTCCTAATGCTTTCCCTCTGGCACAAATGGCTCTCAAAGCACCACACCATATCATTAGCACCGTCTACATAACACTTCCCGACGCACATGGAATCGACCCCGTCTCGTCTGTGGCTAGTCTGCGGATGGCACGCATGCATGACGCGTTTTAGATTGAGGTTCCTGTTGCCGCGACACTAGTGCTGCTTAATCTGAAGAGGCCTTCTGTTTCCACACCGCTTGTCTCTTGCCATGTAACTCACTGTCTAGGCCATGGCGGAATATCTGTCGTGCTCCAGCCTCATTATATGGGAAAGCTCGATGAGCTCCATCAAGTGGACCGGTGCAACTTGCACCTGTCCAGATCTTTTGCCTCTTCCAGAATGGCGGTGCGGTCCCGCCTATTTGTTTGAATAAGCCAAAAATCTAAAAGCTTTTTCTGCCCATCGGATCGTCTCCGCGGGCGCGAGGTTCGTGATCACAACAGAAGTGGATATATAGGAGATCCGAATCAGCTCATGGAACTCGCCTGCGACAGAGTTTCCAGATCCGTGCTCGGGTTAGTGAGCTTCGGGCACATGCATGCCCTGACCCCCAAGATCGCATGTGATTGCATGAATGTGCGGCTAGAATATGAGATATGACATTCAGACTACTCTTGACCCCTACTCTGGGTAAGATGACCTGTGCTCTTGGAACCCAGGTGGCGCATGTGCTGGAGTGACGCAGGGACGGACCTGCGCTACTTATTGGACCCAACAGAATCAATGATGTTGCGGGAGGCATGCACACGGATTTGCACTGTTGTAGATGCAAGGGTAAGAATCCACTACAGTGCACGAAGGCGAGTGGGGAGGTGGGGAGGGGATAGTCTTCAAAGAGTCTTAGTTCTACCCGCAGTAATGCATGGCCCCACACTGCGCACCATCGCCAGTAGTGCGAGAATGCAGGCCGTCATAATGGGACCCATGTAGGGCCAACCCTGAACCAATGCAACCTTCAATCCTCCCTTTCCAAACCGAGAAAGATCGATATATATTTGCACCTTCCCTGCTCTACCTGGATATGTGACTATGTGGCAGCGGTGCCTCAAAATCCCACCCTCACTTCCCCAATGGGAACAGTTCTCCTGAGAAGCGGCGCTCACGAGGGTTGTCACCGCCGAGGATTAGCTCGGCACAGCTCAGCAGCAGGATGATGATGTCCCTCCTCCAAACTAGGCATTTAGTATATAACACTTTTGCTGAGGTGCTGGCAAATCTTCTGAGGCTAGTTCAGTTCTAGATTGTGCACCCCGTGCAGAGCAAACTAGACGTCATCACCGAGACTGAGGTTATGACGCGTTGACCTAGATTCGGCTCCATAAATGGGCTCTCCTGCTTGATGAAGAATTGCCTTTGATTGAAGCATAAAATAGTGGTGTTTCGTAGCTAATGGGGTTGTGAACTATAAATGATGTGTTTTATTTTGACTTTTGAAAGGCTTTGACCTTGACTTGACTCTTTAGGGTATGGGCCTTGAAACCCCACTTCAGACTTTGGTATGCATGGATTACCTTAGTGCAAAATTACTGGTCAATATGTATTCTCAAGATTGGGTATTTTGAGCTCTCTCTCAATATATATATATATATATATATATATATAGTGTGTATGTGTGTACGTGTGTATTCACTTATTTATTTATTTATTTATTTATTTATACACACACACATATATATATATATATATATATATTCTTACAAGGCATTGGTGTGTGTATATATATAATACATATGTTGATAAACTGTGAATGTTTCTATTAGTTATGTAGACCAACTTCAAATAAAAAATCTTCTCAGTAGATACAAGTAAAGTTTGCTATTCTCTCCAAGTATTTTTTACATTATTTAATGTCATTGTAACTTAAATCTTCTTTTTTCTTAATGGACTTTTGAACATTTTAAAGAGCATGTTTGTCTCAAGCATTATTTTTCTTCTTTTTCTCTTTTTTTATAATTATTCTTCTCTATATAAAATTTTATAAATATTTTTTGTATGGAATTTATAGTTAAGAATTTTTTTTAAAAAAAAAAAAAAAAACTTGAGATGATATAACTTGACAAAATATTTTTAGTTTCATTTTTTTTTTCTTCTTTTGAAATCAAATTTTCTGGTTCTTTGTTTGCAAATGATTCAAATTTTATTGCTCAAAATAACTCACATATATTAAAAAAGTAATATTAATGAGGCCCAAACACTATTTTTATCACCCTACTACTTCTTAAGAACTTCATGGTAACATAAAAAGAATAAAAATTGAAAATGAACATTTTGAAATGAAAGTTTTAGTCTAATATACATATCTATTACACTATATTATATTCTTATTTTTTTGTATGACTTGAGACACTCTTAGAATGATTTTTTTTTTTATGATTATAAAAAAATAAGAATTAAAAAGAGAAAAATTATAAAAAACTTGTAAAATAGTTATTTAAAAGAATCTAGTATAATGATAAGAGTTAGTAATTTTTTATATTCTTTTATTAAATTACTCTTGGCATTTCCATATAATCTAAAGTAATTCTAAGCGTTACATCCTAATATAAAAATTCATAGGATATTTATAAAAAAACTAAAATAAAACATACATATACCTAAAAATTAACTATAAAATAAATTATAAAAACATATATTCTTAATTTATTTTTTTAGAAGAGTTATATAAAGTAGTATCTTATTAATTTTATATAATACGAAATAAATTAAAATTTTCAAATTTTTAGTTAAAAAATTGACTCTACAAAATACATGTTATTTTTGAGAGAGAGAGAAAAAAAAATTGAGCAGCCTACGTTTGTATGTAGTATCAAAAAATCCTATTGGTTGGAGTAGTAGGGGGCACTCATTGCTAAGGTATACTGTGTTTTATTTTTATTTTTAATTGCAATTGTGAGAATAAACATTGCATCACTTTCTTTTTAAATTGTAAGAAACATGTGTGTTATAGCAGTTATCAGAGTAAATGAAGCAACATGGTGCACCACAATTTGTAAAGTAGATATTAAATTCAAAAATGTGATTTTAATGTATCTAATTCAGATAAATATTAATCACCTTCTAAAAATTACACATTGCATCTAATCTTGATCTTATCAATGTATAATGTTATAAAGACAATAGAATAGAATATTCAATAAAATTTTAGGATATATATATATATATATATATATATATAAGTTCTTCTACTATCAACATATAATATGATAGAAATAGTTTAAAATAAAATAATTATCTTATTCAAAAAATACATTAGCAATAGCAAATTGGTCATATCATTTTTGTCACCACCTAAATTTGATCCTAACACAACTTGTGAAAAGCAAATCACTTTTCTTGCCATATACATAAACATTTGCAAAACATTCTTTGTCTAAAAAAATCTTCTAACTCATATTCATAGAAAAACAATGCCCCCTACCTGTTACACAAATTAAAAATCTCACACCTATTGCACACACACAGCAAGCAGGAGCAGAACCCTTTGTCTACACTTGGCCATGTGGATGATAACATGTGGGAGTATATTCATTTATTTGGAGGAAGTGATAAGTTGGGAAAGAGTGTTTGTGAAGAGCACGGAAAATGCAGGACAAAAGAACTCATGACTGTGAAGTTGCATATCTGCCAGCAGTATATAAGCATATACTACTTTCTGTAGAGTTCTGGAATCCGACTGAACCAAAAGCTCTAAAACTTTCCATTTTTAAGTGTTTTGGGAAAGCAACATCGATAACCCATTGGCAGATAGAGAGGTAACAAGTCTAACGGTATATGTTTGTTTTTGGTGCAAGTCCTCTACGTATCACTGTTTGACAATGAAGCATTGCAGCCTACAGTATCATTGGAGCAGTTGAAGAAGTAATTCTGGGATGATATGCTTGAAGGAGTGGCAGTTGAGAAGCTTCGCTTTAGCACCATATCTTGTTCGGTGAAGGTAAAATTGGGCTTCCTACGCGTGCAGCTAAAGACGGAGAATGTGGCATTTGCAAATATATAGTTTCCAATTCCCGTGGGATCTATCCTAACAGTTGTAGGCATGGTCATATTCGGAAAGTCATTGCTCCTTGCCTCCTTGCTCGGAGAGTTGTCAGAAGTCTTCGGAGTGGTAGCTGGGGTCCGAAGTAGTTCACTGTAGTGCGAGAATTGAATGCAGGGTGGTAATTTATTAGCCGTCACTCTACAGACAAAACTCACACCTTGGAACTGTTATGGCATGTACCCATTTTGATTCTCTCATTGTAAACTCCTAGTACAGACATGATCAAATAACTGTGCCAATGTTATTGCCATCTTTGCATCCACGTGTAGACTGATGAATATCATTGTGAGCTTAAGTTGTGTCTGATCATGTTGAGGTTTTCTCAGACGAATCAACCTTTCTACGGATGGTCGTGGTTTTCATCAAGTATTCATGCTAGTAGTAGCGAAGTCAATGCTGATTGTCGGCACAGAAATGCCTACTTTGGGGGTTAGCCGGAAGGATTATCATTCTTGCCACTCACCAAATTGAATCCCTTTATGTTGCAAATACCTCAAGGCTGAATGTGGAGGTGTAATTGCGGCAGCAGTTCTTCTCATTTAGATTAGTTCTCAAGACTTGGTGTTAGCTGCGGGTTTCTAGGTAGCGTTTGAGTGGGGAACCGCCAAGTAACTCAATTCATACTGGTTCATATCGGTTTATTTAGTATTGACTGTCACATGCACCTCATGTGGAGTTTGTCACGCGGTTCTTGTGAGCCCCAAGACTTCACAAGATTTCTACCTCAGAATGCTGCCGCGTGTGTGTCGTGCTCTCATGGCCTTCTTTCACATTTCACCTGCGTGAAGAATTCGTTGTCGCATACGCGATTCTCTTACCTTCCATTATGAATGTATGCTGGACGCTCAATATTTGGTACAATTCTTCTTGTATTATGTAAACAAGACCACCATTCATAATTTATTATTGTAGTAAAACGCGTAAATACTTTCAGTTTCTCATCAACATTCTCTAATCCTTCTGTTAACCAAGTGACTCGAGTTTCTATGAAGCGAGTTGTGTTGTTGGGTGTCTTTCAGGAATTATTCTAGTTTCTATTCAAATTTAAATTGTTCGCAGATTGCCGTTGATTGTTTGAGAATGAGCGTTTGCTCCTATGAAGGAAGCGAACCTTTCCCATCTATCTCCATGTGTTCTCTAATGTCGTTTATCTTCCTATTGTATTATAGTCTTAGGCTATATATACTTCTCCTAATCAGATATGATTTGGCGCAGGCAACAACGGATATGATTGTGGGTTCTTTCTTCGGCGACATTTGATAGATGTCGAACTTATAATTTAATTTTGAAGAGTTGTCTTTGTTGTCAGTTTTAAAAACCTGAACATTCAACTGATCCTCAGAAGAAAAGAATGTGTGCATAGCGCTGAAGGTCCGTTTTAGTGTATCGAGAAAAAACTAGATTAAACATCCTTCAAGCCAATATGAACATAAAAGTGAGGTTCCCAAAACCAGTGCTAATTCGCATTCTGTATTCCCTGCTGTGTAGGCCGATTTCAACATCATCAAGGGAGTTAACCTGATTGGATGCAGAGACGAAAATGATGTCTGGCATAACTCGAAGCTGTGTATTTAAGAATCATGAAACTATGGGTAACGGTAACTCACAACCCTCTATCTAGTTCAGTAACATTTTGTATGAATAGTTTTGAAGTCGTGCAACCGAAGTTGTGTTAACTAATCAACCTCATTATCGTATGCTGCTGGGATTACTACACGCTGAACTTCCTCTAAACCAGAGTCAGATATTTCTACATGTCTACCCTTCATCGGTGAAGATCCTGTTGTCTGCGGGAAGCCACATATGTGTTAAGTTTCTTTGAGCGTAAACCTCATGAACACTAAATATATTGGATTGCGAGTTGGTGGGGATGCCTGTATCATTCAGTCTCCTGCTTGACACAACTTTGCATGTTCACTGCAGAATAAAATGGTTGCTATGGAACGCATCTCCCAATATCTCAATCTCCCTAGAGAAGCACCGGAGGTATAAATCTACACACAAACATGAAACACAAAGTCTTCAAACGTGATGTCCAGTTGTAGATTTGGGTGGACCGTAAGAATACGTAAGAATGTTATACCGTGTCGCCAAATAATCTACGATATGGATGAATAATACCGTTCATCTATTTTCATTCATCCAGAAAACCGCAAACCTTGGAGGCGGTGCCTTCGCAGAAGGTGTTTCCGACGAAGGATCCATAAGAGTATGATCCCGCTCTACAGGCTTTGTGTTCTCGCTGAGTCGATTGATTTGCGTGTGTGTGGGTAGCGCTGGATTGGAATTGAAGCGAGAGCAAGATCAGTAGGGTGAAGTTGCGATTAGGGTTTCAGATTTGGAGATTTGCCATAGCTGAGTGGGCAAGATGGTGCAGGTGTTAGTGAGCAAGGGTGATGGGGGAACGGTGGCAGTGCGTGTTGATGAGGAGCAGACAGTCGGGGATTTGAAGAGCTTGGTGTTGCCGAGGAGTTGCGTTTGGGATCATGTGTATTTATCATTCGCAGGCAGGCCCTTAGCCGATGACGCTAGGTTGGTGGATTGCGGAATTGGGAATTGGAGCAGTTTAGGGTTTGGGGTGAGAGTGCGTGGAGGTGGTGGAGATGGGGGAGCCACGGGCGCTGAGTCGCGAGACTGCTACTTGAACATGTACGCATCGAAGAAGCCGGATAAAGTTGACCCAAATGAGATCAAGTTGGCTAAGTTTACCAATTGTGCGCTGTCATCGGAGCCCCTGAAACCTCCATGCGTGATTGATTTTCTTGGGAATATATACAACAAGGAACCGGTAGTGCACGCGCTTCTGACGAAGTCGTTGCCGAAGAAATTAGGGTATATTAAGGGGCTTAAGGACCTTATTACTGTTCACTTCACTTCTATTCCTGGGGTTAGCCCAGACGGGGATATCTCTGGAAGCAAGTTCCAATGTCCAGTTACGGGTTTAGAAGTTAATGGGAAATTCAAGTTCTTCGCCCTGCGAAAGTGTGGTCATGTGTTAAGTGCTCGGGCTTTGAAGGAAGTGTCGTCGGCGTCTTGCGCGGTTTGTTATGTTCCGTTTACGGAGCTTGAAAAGATCCCACTGAATGGGTCCGAGGATGAGGTATGTGATTGTGCTTTCATCAGTATCTATCTTTAACCTATCTGCATTGATCTGTGCCCATGTTTGCCCTTGAACTGTGAAGTCCCCATTTGGTATTCATAACATCAAATTTTATGTTCAAATGTAGTGGCCGCATCACATCGCTGTGCTTTCATTTATTTTGATCCTTGTGATGATTACAACGAGACTGAGAGTAAAAATGAAGAACAGTAAGCTCTATATTGCACAATAAAAATTAAAGCACCCTTGATCCAAAGATATAACTCAGACTTTCACAAACATCGAGAGCTTGAAGGTTTTACACTCAGACCTATTTTTTAAGCTTTGAAGTCGTTTCTTACTTTGGCGTTTGTTACTACAGGTTCGTTTATTGCGGGAGAGAATGGAAGCAGAAAAATCGATGATTCAAGACAAGAAGCCGAAGAAGGTTAAGAATGGGAAGCTGGACACAGTAGAGCAAAGTGCGGGGGACTCGTGCAAATCGACAACAGAGGAAAGTCGAAAATTAGCCAAAAGCTCCTTACACAGTGGCAAACGCAAAGGAGAAGTTTTTCCTGATTTGGAGGTGGCACAAGTGAGGCCAAAAGGTTCAGATCTGGTTGTCGTGACTAAGAAGTTCAAAGCATCCGATAAGTTGCCAGAAAATGCAACAAAATCTGTATACGCTTCCATCTTTACGTCATCAAGCAAGGGGACATTCAAAGAGACTTACTCTTGTCGTTCTTTGCCTCTTGGGAGAAACTGACGCGTGTATTGTTGAGGTTCTTGTGTATCATATTTTTAAGGTTTTCAGCTTGGTAGTTTAATCTGGGAAAGTAGGAATTGAGGTGTATCTTGGTGTGCCGGATCACAAGTGACCTGCGGATACTGGCATTAGGACAAAACACTGATTCGTTGAGAAGCACTGAAGCAAATTGCAGTGTGATAGTCACACGTTTCTTCCGTTTGTAATTTACAGCAAGAAAGAAAAGAAAAAGTCTGGTGAACGGTTACATACAATGTGATATTGCAATTAAAAGCTGTGCCTACATTTGTTGCGAAATACGAGTGCAGTGTATTTGTGATGCTCTTTGATACCACTTGATAACCAAATTCTTTCATGTTAATCTGCAACTGACTAGCTTCAATGTTCACATTGGCATGTGTTTGATAGGCTTCTCTTATTTATTAATTACTCCTGTAGTTTTATTGCGGCATAGAATTGTGGCCCACTTATGTTGTTCCATTACAATGTGCTGCCACAACGCTTAGGATATGTAAGTTCTATGTCCAGGCTAGCTAATTTTATGCCACAGTTTGTCATGCAAAGTTAGAATCTAAACCTTAGTGGCTTATGTAAGATAGCTAGAACAGAAGCTTAATATCGTGTATTCATGTCCCTTGGAAGTTGATTTCAAAATTGGTCAAGTTAATTGTGCCCAGGATTTTCACTCACTTTATATGCGTCCAAAATATTTAGGTGTATGTCAAACAGGAAGAACTAAATTACCAGAAATTTAAAACAATGAATGTTAGTTTTTGTACGTACATATTATTGGATGGGGGAAAAAGTGGGATGATGAAGACAAGAAATGACATTGTAGAAAAATAGAATAATGAGAAGTGATCTGAGCGCTAGAAGGAGGGGTCGAACCTCCGACCTTGTGGTTAACAGCCACACGCTCTAACCAACTGAGCTATTCCAGCCAATCTGACACCACAATTTGTTCCTAATTACAAATAAAATCCAAATCCTTGAGATTACGGTAATCTCCTCCGCATCTGGATTCACCGGATCGAGTGAATCTGTGGACGGAAATTAACCTACACTAGATTTAAATTATTCTGACACTTTATATAATTCTCAGTCTAATATGAATCTTGATTCTAAATCGAGTCATTGGTTTAGCCAATAACTGCAATAACCATCTTTCTAAATTGTGCCAGAGCATTAAAATTAATCATTTTTCATTACAAGAACCTATGGATAATATTAATTGCTCAAATTTTTCAGTATCAGATGAATCAATTTAAAGACTCATGTATTACCTTCCAAAAAAGTCACATGGATTTCACACCCTGACTCAAAATTCACGTATTTGGCATGAGCTTGTAAGATCTATCTAGACTTGGTTCTTCTAGAGTCCTTACGATACGCAATATCTTCCTAACATAGAAAAGTAAATTATGCTGTTTTGAAATTTTGGGTTCCCTTCCTGTTGCTTGCACCTGAGACAAACCTGAACATATCTTATTCGTTATATTCATGTAATCCACCATTAAATTGTTATTAGACCAAAGAATGGTCTCTCTTACAATCATTCCCTCTCTCGTTTGATTTGTACCCTGATCCCTTGACCTTGTGACTTGACATTCAAAAAGCTATGATGTTTCATGAACAGCTTGTATTTTGATCGAAGAGACCTCTTCTTGCCATTTCATGCTGACAATGACCCATATGAACAAACAGAATTTTCACTTATCTAGTTTCAAGCGACTTTTCCAATTCTCAAAGCAGTCGCACAGACAAAGAAAATATCTTAATGTGAGCCTATTGCACCGTGACACCAGTCGTTGAATCAATCTTAAAAAAACAATCATCAATTCAACCAGCGCCTGACGATTGAAGCAGGAAAATCACAGACAATACCAAGTTCTAAGCCCTATTCTGAAACGAAAAAGAATATAACTGTGCAATAACTACTTCGAATTTCTTGAAATCTTCTTTACTGCAAAATTCAACTGCAGAAACTCGGTTCTACATATCTACATGTGCAACTCTCACAATTGATAAACCATTGGTTTTCTAATGAATAGTTCAACTTTTCATGAAAGAACAGAAATTTTTCACAACATCAACATGAACCATGCAACTCAAAGCAGTATCAACCAGAAATATAGAAGCAATAGATGATGAATTTGCAAACAATCAAACATTGAACAAGAGATTTGAACTCAAACAGTGCTTCCGCATGTCCATTACGCCTTGGATCAGATACGTGACCTTAGGGGATCCAGCAAGCAGGTTTTCTAGCAAAATCCGATTCGCCGCATGAGTACGCCTCGTAAAATGCAGATGGCTCCCAGTTGCTGCACTACGCAACATATTTGACAACCCTCTACAATCTCACTGTTTTAAAAAAACACAAATTTTACCTTTAATTCTTCCTTTTCCGATCTGAGATCTTGGTACATCCGACAAATAGAATATGGTGTACAACCAGGGATTTCAATATGTAAAAATCTACACTGCTTATGCACTCGCCTTCAGTGCCTTCAATCAAACAGGTCGACCTCAGAGCATTTGAGAACACTCCTCAAATACATTCAAGTAGATGGAGGTCGAGGACTTACTATTATCACATGAAAACCGACCTTCATCCCCACCGTGAAAAAATGACCACTCTCCCTCTCTTCCAGCAACATCCCCATTCCTGCACAACTCTTCAAATTCTATAAGACAGCCAGAGTAAAGGCTATAAAGTCAAGAATGTGTAATCGACAGCCATGGAGGGAACAGACAAGAAATGGACCATATTCGCCATTTAGGTACCGTTTACACAATTCAGGCAAAATAAAGCTACCATGAATCTCTTTCGATTGAAGTTCTCTTATCCTGAGGGGATGCAATAATGTTGAGAGATGATCAATTCATGATACACAAGGCTTGCAACGAGGCTTGGAATTATCCACCTGTATACATTCAGAGCAGACTAATGTGCTAAAAACACAACTGGAGAGAGCTTCCAGTAGCAGCAGATACGTAGGCATTACATCGTTGATTCCAAATTGCCACCAGATTTTCTCTACACCAGAAAATTAATGGTCATTGTGACAGTTTATACAATCTGGCAAAGGTTATGGAGGGGCGCATATCATCAATATCCGAACTTCGCATTGAGTGCTGTTCGCCCATCTCCAGTTTGCCCTGCAAAATGTGGTATAAACTTATCAAAAACTCTCAAAAAACTCTCAAAAAAACAAAAAACAAGAAGTTTAACTGCATAATTTTTCAGAGCTAAGAGATAGGCCAAAATAGAAACCCAGTGCAAGAAGTTGTAAAGAGAAAATATAAGTACCTTTAGGAGGGACCCAAGCTTCTTCGAGCTCGTCCAATTCGTTATCCAATGCAGGAGGTCTTTCAGGCCCCAGCTTTCGTTTTTTCTTGCCTCGAGTTTTAGTTGCAGATACATGCTGCAAGCTGTCGCTCGACTGAGTCTCTTGTTCTCGTACTTCCTCTTGAGTAGTAAAACCTGATGTGTGTCTCATTAGAAGTGCAACTGCCTCCATGGCTGCATGACTAGCGACATCTGTATACTCGCTCCCCAACATATCACCTACAACTTCTACTTTTGCGACATCCTCGTTCTTAGGAGCTGACCGTTTCCTATCTTTATATCCTACAAAATCATTCCCAGTTTCTGTGTTTTCTTCTGTGGAAATTGAACCCTTTGTAGCTTCATTCTGTGGTGCCTCCGGCCGCGGTGCAGGTCGTGGTGCACCAAGAAGAAGAGTAGGTGCAAGAACCGGCATCTCTTTGGTTTCAGGTTGATTGTCAATAGAACCCATACTAACATCTGGAGTAGGTGGAGCATTATTCGCTTCAGGAGCAGGTTCAATAAGCTCCTTTGCTTGAGATGCAAGCTCGCGCGCAGCTTCTTTACTGGCACGTAATCGTAATCGATTCTCTACAATGGTTTCTACCTTCTGATATTGGCTTGAACCTTGAGCTTTAGAATCCCATTTCCCAGCAGCATCTCCAGATGGGTCTGCAATTTTCAGGAGGCGGGCAACCCTATCAGCTTCCGCTTGAAGCTTTGATAGCTCCTTTGAGAGGCGGTCTCCTTTGTCTTTAACTGCACACCACAACAACAAATATTAGTGCTATTATGTACTCATGGTCTCGGCTATCAGAGGTTGTTCTAACATTTTACTCCTTGAAAACAAAGTGCATCAACATCCTTGGACGGAAGCTGTCGTGCAAGAATGCCCGCTCTAAGACAAATGACATACCAATTTTCGTGGATACGGTTGACATGAATGCATCCAGAGGATCTATAGATTCCGAGGTGATATTGCTTTCTTCTTTTGTACTTGATTTTGCTTTCTCAGCCTCTAACTCAGCCGACACAACATCCATTTCCTTTGCAAGCACATCTCTTTTCTCGAGAAGAGTCTCAGCTGTCTCCACCACTTGAGTGGTTTCTGCTTTATTGGACCTCTGTTTTCGCTTGTTCGTTCGATCATAGAACTCATCGTCACTGAAAATGGTACCAAACACAAAACTGGATTTTAGACACACCCACACCCAAAACATGCTGTGCTCTGCCAAATTCGTGCAAAGATATAGATTGAGGGTAGAATTTAGTACCTAGCATCTTCGTCCTCCTCGTCCTCAAAATGAGGTTTCTTTTTTGAGAGAGACTTCCCTGAACGCGCACCTAAACTTTCTCGAATACTCTCGTTAAGGGTTTCCTCTAAGCTTTCCAACTCCTCCATGAGCTGAAACAAGTCCAAACACATCACAAGCTGAGCTGTTTGCATTTTCAGAACCGCCACATAGTAACACTCACTATGCTCAAGGTGAAACCGTGATCAACAGAAACCGAGGGAATATCCAAAGGAGTCACCCTAATGAAAACGCTACAACATTACTGTCTTATATCATATACTTGCAGAACCAAACACCGCACAACATCCACAAATGCCGTCCCTCTAATAATCTTTGGAAATCTGGCAAAAACTGGTATAACATCAAACAATCACCTATACAACTGTACAGAACCACTGCTGATGAAAATAGAAGCACTCCGCCAGGTAGGTCACTGACCGCTTCAATACGTTGCTCATTGCGTGCAATTTGTGTCTGTTGACCTTGAGTAAGTCCCCCTTGGCTACCTTCTTTGGCTCTAATTGCATCAATCTCTTTGTTCAAATTGCCCATCTAACAGCCAGAACATAGTATCAAACTGTAAGAACTAAGTTTAAATATGCGTACATGTAGATATTACACATAACTTGCAAAGCAGTCTTGTGTCAAATTACATTAAGTAACTGAACAAGTAATCCAAAGAGAACAGCGTACTTCTCCTGGATTGAAAACACTTTGTGCCTTCAACATGTAGATGAAATGCAAATTTATGTCCCATTGTCAGAGAAACGTGACTAAAAATACCTTTTCATGTCGTTTTTGAACTTTTTCGAGTGTCTTTTGCTGTTTCTCTGTAAGTGATCCCTTGTAAGTCTGCCAAGTCACTTCGTCCAGGTCCTCCTGCATGACGTCCAGCATCATATCAACACAACTGTTCTGCTTTTTTACCACTGTACTCCTACATAGCAAATTCACATCATAATGGTTTCATGGTCCCACAGCAAACCATGATTTGAACACAAATATCTGACCGCTCATGCTAGAGTGTTCACCTCTTCCTCTTCAGCTTCAGCATCCTCCTGCATGCCCCAGCTAGCACCCTCCAAGGCTGATGCCTCCGCTTTTGCTCGCCGAAGGGACATTTCTCGCATGTGTGCTTCTGCAGCTCCGGCTGAATGCCTCTCCTGTGAGGCGTTTCAAAGATTTAGATACTACAGGGTATCAGGGTCGAGGTATCAGAGCATTAAAAACATAGTGGAAATGGTACTGAATGGAATAGTAGTACTAATAACAATAATTATAATCTTGAAAATCCTGACGTACTGATAGCAATTATTGGTTGCGAACCTCCCTTCCCGAAAACGTGTCATTCTAATCAATGGTATAGAAGAGGAAGATGCAAGGACCAAGAATTTTCATAGCAGCCAGTTGTCTAATTAACTAGCTAAGGCTAACTCCTCCACAAATGTACTTTAAACCTTGCCTATTGAACTCAAGTGCATAACAGTAAACAAAACAAACTGAAGCACCACGATCAATCACAAAGAAAAAAGAAGAAATCTACCTCGGGCATAAGTTCGCTTGGGCCTTGGAGCACGTACAAACGGATTGAGCTAAAAATTAAAAGCAAGTGCACCGTAAGACCAAGTTGCAAGGTTTGGTGATACCCTGAAAGCTTGAAGTTGAAGATTATGATCTCAAAACTATAAATAAATAAATAAATAAATAATACATTACACAGAGAATATAGAAGGATTATTGTCTTACAGGCCAAAGCGAAAAATTGCACCCACATGAACTGGAGTATAAACTCTGGGCTTCACCTGCGGGCTCCAACATTGTCGAGGTTGAAGGGCAAAAGACTTCTTCTCCTTGACATGTGGAAAATAATAACAAGAACTAGCGACAAGAAAAAGAACAATAGAACGATTCAGGTCAAACAAGGTGAAAGCATTCCATGTTTCTAGTCCCATAAAAAGAACGGGGGCAAAATGCCAAACCTGACGCTTGTTAACAAAAGTACCATGCGTACTCCCGAGGTCGTATACAAAGGCTTCTCCTTTGTCATTGTACTGCAGAACTGATCAACCAGAAAACAAATACAATCAAGACCCAAATCAACTCTGAACCCTCACGTTAGAGTTTAAGCAATTAAAATTTGCAAGGAGTCTAAGCAATTTTCAAGCTCCATATGATGAGGGTATCCAGAACGAAACACCTTCTTTACAAATGTGCTGATTACTCCAATAGACATGAAAAATCTTCCAAATTTAACTTTAAAATCCTCTATAGCTATGGTAAGGAAGATCGTAAACAGATCGCCTACGAAAGATCCCACCAATTGAGCTCAGAAATCCTGGCCCAAACCTTGGAGTAAAGAAATGAAAAATACTGTTCTGAAGTGAAATACCTGCATGGTAGCGGGACGCGCTCGGATGCTCTAAGATGAAGTCACACCGGTCGCTGCGCCCAAACATGTAAGCTCCTTTGCTCGATCTAAACAAGTGAATATATAGTTGGTTTCAGTTAGTAAACCAAAGGAAGAGTAACAACTGAGCTTGAAAACTGCTGCAGATGAGACATTCAAAAGATTCTTCACTCTTTTTACATACGGAAAAAAACATATCGTTACAAAAGCATTGGGCATCGCAATCTATTTATACAATTCTTACGACTGTTAGAGCATGGCAAGGAGAACATACACATCAAGGTTGCCCAGAATAACGCCTTCCTTCAGAACTTCAAGCATGAAGGGATGAATAGGTGCTGCGCTCCATGTGGGTATCACATAGGGTACGCCCGAAGAAGCTGGCTCCAATGAAGCCTTGCTCATGGATGCTTCCATGGCCATCACCGTACTACTACCCTCTTCATCTAAAGGCTTCACACCTACAGAGATATTTGCTGTTGCTGCAATGCAACACATAAGTTAACCTAAGCCCAGAGATGAGATCACAAAAAACTCGCTCAGAGTGTCCAGAGAGACTTGAAAATCTAGTTGCATATTAGTTATGAACCACATTTAGGGTGGCAAACAATATAATGCTCTCTCAAATCGCAGCTCACATCATTGATTTCTCGAGGCCACTGAATTTACAAGAAACCAAGCACTTCCCATTGAACACTGAGTTCGGACGCAGGTTTGTGTAAGATCCCCTTACTCACAGCATAGTGATTTAAAAAGGTAGTCTACGCTAAAGCTTCAACTGATGACGAGTCACCGCAAGATTGTTCAGAGTATACTTCCAATCCTCAACACGGCAACAAACTGTTTGTTCAAACAAAAATGCTGTGAAGTCATGTTTCCCGTATGAAGTCTACACGCATGAGACAGTAGCGCACCTTCCACAGTCGAACTTTGAACAATCTCCTTCACTTCGTCTTTACTAGATTTCACCCGCATTGGTGGGGGTCCCATTGGACCCGGTAAGTTGGCTTTTGTAAACTTGGAAGGAGGCATCGAGGGTGGGGGCATGGCAGACGGAGGTTTAAAGGATGGAGGTCCCATTCGCTTGGGCTCTTTAAACACGGGAACTTTGGGCGGACCTCCTCCAACTTCAGTAGAAACTAAATTTGAAATCGTCACTCCTACCTTAGCAATCGACTTCAAACTACCAACCTCCAATTCACTACCATCATTGCCATTGTTCAACTCCTCACGACACATCTCGATCTCGGTTTTCTGGATAACAGCCGGCTCCTTTCCAGAACCAGAATTGTCTGTACCGGGTGCAAGAGAATCCATGACGGACTAAAACTCTCGACTAACAGGACGCACAGCTAAAAAGTAATATTTCCGCGGAAAAAAAAAAAAACAAAAAAAAACAAAAACAAAAACAACAACAACAACAACAACAACACACTCACACACACGAAAAAAAGCAGCATTCGCTGCCAACAAAAAGATTGGCCAAATTCAAGAAAAACGAACAGCAGCAAAAATTTCAACACGTAACTAGAAAAAATTATTATTATTATTATTATAAAAATAAAAAAATAAACTCTTACTCAACTCAGTGCTCTAATCTCAAATTCCACACCTCCTCTAAATGACCGACACGCTCGGTGCGATTCTCTCCCAACAGCAAACAACAAAGCAACTAACTCACAATTCTACAATTCCACTCAACCACGGGAACCCTCTCCATCACCAATCCTGGAACAACACATCATCACAGCAGGTCTTTATAAAGCAAACAGAAAAAACGATAATCCGCGAGATTTATCAAAAAAACGCAGAACACGAATCAGAATTGTAGCAAGTAGAGTGTGCTAACGTTGCTTGCGACGATCGGACAGCGATCTCTCCATCTCCACACACAGGAAAATTGCAGTCCTGGTCATTTCTCGGTGGTTCTAAGAAACCCTAAACCTTTCCTAGTTCCTGTCCCCTATTTCCGTGAAGTGTCATCCGGGTGCCGTGTGAATGGGAGCATAATAAGCCACGCTGAGGCTCCCTTCCTATATAATTTTGTATATTAAGATTGCTCAATGCAGACAAGTAGTGGTTCTTGATGGTTGCATGGATGGATCTTTATTTTCATCAAAAAAGATCACCTTCTCTGGAGTTGAGTTCACAGGTCATTTTACAAAGTTGAGTTCACAGGTCATTTTACAAAGTTCACAATTTGATTTATAGATTGTTTTATAGAGCTTTGCATTGTAGAGCAAGTGCCTTTATGTCATTTAGTTTTTTTTTTTTTTTTTTTTTTTTTTTTTTTTGTTGTAGGCTCTTCTCAATACTAGGGTTGCCTCAACAGTTGTGGAGTTAATTTTTAACATAGCTGCTATCGTTTTCTTTTTGAACCCTCTACTTAATGTTGGAGTATGTTGAGAGTATATTCATTTGGATATTAATTTTTTTTTATCAAGGACAAGAATTGAATGAAAACAAATAATCAAATGAGCCTCTCTCAAAGAAATATGACAAAATAGAAATAGAAAAATATGTATATTAAAAAGAAAATTAGAATGGCTATTGCCAAAAGACAAGAAAATTAGAGACTCTTAAAACTAGACTAGAAGCAAGAAAGGAATTGACAAGAGTGAAGAAGGCTTCACACTTGCTTTAATATATACTATCTATCTAGGATCTATATAGCGACGTTCTACACAACCTCTAAAAATATATTGACTTTACATGATATGTATCTTAACTTGAAAGGCAAGTTTTCTATATGAATGCTATATAATTAGCTTGTTCCACAAGCTATCAACACATGTGATACATGGTTTGCTTGTTGACCAAGTTTCTAACCTACCAATTAATTACAAACACATGTAAAATCAAAACAACATTTAGGAAGCTTCTAAAAAGCTTTCTATAAGGTATTATGAAATTAATCTACTTTTATCTACTTCTACTTATTTATATTACATAGATAACAATTATAGTAGATATGTATCCATGACATTACCTCTCCTTTTAGAGACGAGTTCTACAAGAAGCAATGATTACATATTGAAGAAGTTTAAGCTACAACAAATTGTATTTATCATGTACTCTGTTCTTTAATCCTTTCAAAGGTAATTGATAGGTCTTCTTAGCCATTGATAATCTCCCATTCTAGGGCGAAAAGATCACCTTGTTATTTCATCATTGTTAAAACCTTTGTAACTTCCTTCAAACAAAACATTTATAATACCATCAGGAGTTGTCTCTATCTTCAGTAAAACCACCAAATATTGAGAGTCTCTTTTCAAGTCATGATACCAGACGTGTTGTATCTTACTATCTATTTGAGAAAAAACATGGCGTTCTTGAAGGTTTTTATTCCTACTATGTCATCTTAAAGGCTATAGTAATTATAATGTCTCATCCGATAAGTTAATAAATGATGGCTCTTGAGTTGAATCTACTAGTTGTTGATTCTTTATCTCTTTAAAGCCATAGTTATACAAAAATTGCAAACAAAGATAGAATGTAGAATGCAATCTTTCCTAAATTAAGTTTCTTTTATAGCAAAGGTTTGTTATTATTTATCTTAGTTTTGTTTGATGTTGTTGATGAAAAGCTTTGACCTTCTCTCTTATATTTGTAAGATTTTTAAACAAATTGTAATAGATTCTTAAACAAATTACAATTAAAGATTAGCAAATATAATCAAACATTGATAAAATTCAATCAAATTTTCAAAGGAATTATGTAAGAAACACAAAGTATTCCTAGAGATCCTTTAAAGAATCATAAAGAAATAATATAGAAATTCAAAAATATACTAAAATAGAAACCTTATTTAAATCCTAATCAAAACTTAATTAAATTCTAGTCAAACCCTAGTCAAATCCTAGTCAAATCCTAACCAAATCCTAAATAATTCCTAACAAAATCCTAAATAAATCCTAAACAAATCTTAACCAAACCCTGATCAAATCCTAAATAAATCCTAATCAAATTTTAAATAAATCCTAAATAAATCTTAAATAAATCCTAATCAAATCCTAAATAAATCCTAACCAAATCCTAATCAAATCCTAAACAAATCATAAATAAATTCTAAACAAATCTTTAAAAAATCCTAATCAAATCTTAAATAAATCCTAAACAAACCTTAACCAAACTCTAAACAAATCCTAAATAATTCCTAAATAAATCCTAAATAAATTCTAATCAAATACTAAATAAATCTTAATCAAATCCTAAACAAATCCTAACCAAATCCTAAACAAATCTTAATCAAATCCTAATCACTTTCTAAACATATCCTAACCAAACCCTAAATAAATCTTAACCAAATCCTAATCACTCCCTAAACATATCCTAACCAAACCCTAAATAATCCCAAATAATTCCTACGGTAGATTTAAACCTCAATAATTAATGTATAAACCATTGATTTTAACTCAAAATTTGCACACCTCTTAATAATTAAGTTAAAATCAAGTAATTTTTTTTTAAAGAAGATCGACCTTAATATTTGCTTGAATATTGGCGAGCCTTCTTCTCCAATCTGAATATTGAATTTCTAGCACTAATATCTCCTTATCAAACTATTCAATTGATCTCAAATTTGTCACATACATACAAAAATAAGTCTACTACCCACACACATAATTTTTACTCTAATCCAACTGATAGATTGCAAGAAAACTTAGAAATCCTCACTCAAATTAAAACTCGTCTTTCCAAGAATCTGACCACTTTAAACATCAATAATCTTCAATCCAACCCTTCAATCAAGCTCAAACTCACAAAATATATTGAATACATATAAACCGACGAACTTTCAAAATTTCACCTATGGATCTACTGCCAAACTTACAAAATTCTCCAAAAAGTATCTCCCTTTTTATTTCACAAATCCACAGTCACCCAAAACAAACCTTGACTTTGCAAAGCTCTTACAAATTTATTGTAAATTCAAATCACTCTAGATCAATATGTATCAATATTCTATCAAGTCTTCTCTCTAATCCCATTCTTTGATCTGCCAAAGAACCCTAGAATCATCATCAAGACTTGGTTTTGTGCCTTGGGATCTGATTTCAACCCTGGTTCATAACCGGCCCTCTTTGGATATCAATATCTAATTTTTCTAGATAATTTTTGCTAGAATTCACTCTTAACTTCTTTCTAAAGATTCTTATATCATTTATTTTTTTAATCTACTTTTTTTTGCCTTATTTTTGGCCCTACAAAGTAAGTAGAAGTCACTTTTTAAAAAAAGATAGGATTACTACTAAAATTTTTACTACCTTCTTATCTTTTATCCATATTTTTCTATTTTATCTTTTGAGTTGGCTCTTCTATAATAAGATCCATATTATCATCTTTTACCATATAGTTGTGTTACAACATGACAATGTATTGTCTTATTTGGAAATACATTATACATCTGGCAATGGAAGCTGGGATTATTTTTTATAAGTATCTAAGAATCCTAATATGTTTCACTCTTATAATAAGAATGCAATTTTAATTTTAATTCAAAAGTACTTAAATCTAATACAAAGTGCTCAAAAACACTCTTTTTAGTAATCTCAACTATATATAAATTCCAATTATCTTATTGTATTCATAATTAGGCAATTTTGATTTTTCTTTGCAAGCCTTAATTCTAATCAGTAAGCTATAGCTCCTAATCTAATCATCCACTTATAACAAAATTTTGCATACAAATGCTGCTATAAATCTTCTATGTGCTCAAAAAGAATTTACTCCAATCTAACTTACAAATCTTGAGAAAACGCCCAAAAACCACATTGATGTTACTTGGCCACCAACTTGAAAATTGATGCAAATATTCTAATACTAATTTTTCTTTCTCCAACTATTAACTTCAATTTAAAATTGGTATGTAGATTGATCATTGAATCTTCTAATACTATACCAAATTTTACTTTAATCCAACTAGTAGATCTTTAGATATCATAAAACCCTACCCAACCTCAAGCTGCCAACTTTTGATACTTTTTTGTACCAAAATTCAGTTATCTCTCAATTGCACTATTAGATTATTACAAAATTTTACATATACTTAGTACATTTATTTAATCAAGCACTATAAAATTTTAAACTGTAGATGTAATACCAATTATATGAACTAGCCAAGCGTACTAGCCCTAATTGTATTGCATAAATATTAAGTCTCCAATATAAATCCTGATTTTGAATAATAATTGTAGAGTCCAACCAAATTCTATGAAAACAAGCACTACATTTTTAGAACAAGTTCAAAGCTAGCTCTCCAACCCTAATTGCTAATCTTTGAATGATTTCATATTATGTCCTAGGTCATTGTTTTAGTAGCTAGAGATTTGATTTCAACCTTGTTTCATAAACGGTCAACACTTGGGTATCAATCTAATCTATTCTAGGGATTTTTTAGTCCAATCCTACCCTCAATTTAATCTTAGTATCAACCATATTAATTACTTATCTCTTTTAATCTGATTTTACTAATTTAAGATCTTTTTAAAAGTAATAAAAAAGTCTCTATAGCCTAAAAGATAAAATTAGTAATCAATCTTTAATCTATTAACTATTAAGACAAGAAAATAAACTAAGAGGCTTTTATATAAGCCATATTTAAATATCTTGAATTATTATTGAATCAAGATAATTAGATATTATTTAGAAATTTATTTTTGATTATATTTTTACTATGTAGTTGTATTACATTATGACAACATGAAATATGGGGTGGATTTTCATAAATCATGATAGATGTAATCGATAAGCAATTAGATTGATTTATTCAGAAATAAGAAATGGTAGAAGTCCACAATAATCCAACTTATCCTCGAGGCAAATATTTTTAATATTATGACAAAATAATCATACTTTATGACCAATGTGGAAATGAAATTGTTCCTTGCGATAAGTCTCTTTCTTGCTCTTTTGTTCTT